AAAAAATAATAATAAAATAAGAAAAAAGAAAAAGGAAAAGGAAATGACTTTGAAAAAGAGCTTAAAATTCGAATAATTCTTTAACATTATGTTAAAATATATAATAATGATGATTATAAATATATGTTTTCCCAAGTTTTTTAAAAATATTTTTCCAAATCTATTTTTTATTTTGCAATTTTCTGAACATTTCTTACCAGGTTGCTCATTGCCTTTTCCCCTCATGTTTTTGAAAGAAATTGCACCAATTTGCTCAGGGTTCAAAGGTTTAAAGGCTTTTTTCTCAAACCCACAGCTCAGAGACAGTCATTATGTATTGTGACATATTTTGCTTAATATTTGGAGGAAAAAAAACAATACTGGGAATCTCCTTTTACCAATATATTGGATGATTATTGATGTGGATGTGTCCCCTGTAATATATAATTACTGCTGGACTATTCCTTAGACGTGAACTTAAGCACACTATTTAACGTGCACTTTCCTGACTTCTTGTGTCCTATAGAACTTAAAATCTGCCGAGTCGTGCTTCCTGCCGGAGGACGAGAAGAATGAGCTCCTCCACAAGCTGTATGAGGCCTACGGGATGCTACAGACGACTGCCTTTTAAACCTGATGGAGGAGGAAGTCTGAGGAGGAAATGAGACCTGACCCAGCAGGGACGAATCACTCTGAACCCTTAATCTCCTCACCTGACGCAGTGGAATGTCTTTCTCCTCATTTGTAACCAGACATTTAACTGACAGAATTATACATCACGTATGCTGTTTATCATATGGCTGCTGCCTTCATCTCACATATCTATACATCCTAATCTTGTGTTCTGTCAGTGCTCCATACTTTTTAATACTTAAGTATACGGCGCACTTTACAGAGGGTGATGTGGCGCTCTGCACGGTGCTAAAAACACAGGCATGCAAGTGTTTTATGTTTATGAAGCAGATTTTGTTTTTATGAAAACTATGGATACATTCTTCATCTTGTGTTTACATCCTGTTGTCATGGAGAAAATCAGGGAAGCTTTTGACGCACAATTACTCAGCAGTTTTAATACTTTGTCAGCATGTTAAAGGGAAGGATGGGGGAGGAATATGTCGTTCATCTTTGGTGTGAAAGCATGTAGTGAAGGATAACTCAATTTACTACCTACAGGGAGAATATGGTTTACAGTGAATATCCAGTGTTTGGTTTAAGGGAGAAATAAGGGAATCCAGTGTCGGACATGTGTGCTTTTCGCCCTCCATTCTTAAAACAGGTAAAACAGCTCAATACCAAAAGTATAGTCTTATATTTGAACACTAGGGGGCACAATACAGTCACCTAGATGGACAAACCACAGTTTGTGGCTTTGCATATCCTAATTACTCAATTCTTTTGATGTATGTATTTATTTAAAATATTTTTTCACTTCACTTAATTAAAAAAAAACACTTCCATGTGTAACAGACACATTTATGACACTTATGAAAAGCATCTTTGAGCATAATAAAATCTATTATAAAACATTCCTGTGTGTCAGCTTGTGTCTTTAACCTGATTATCTGCAGTAACTTTATTTTGCTTTCAGAAAATCACCTGCAAATGATCGCTTGCATATCAGTGGGCCTTCTTCATAGCAGTCATTTTTTAACATGTCATATTTGGAAAAGCACAAGAGGATCTAATAACATTAATGATTGCTTCTACAGAGTCACATTGCTGGCTCACTGGGATATCTACTGGGACGGTTAATGGAACAGAGCCATCATTCGTTCATCTGTTGTTTCCCATGATGACAACTCAAGATGTCTGCTGTGAAAAAGGTCCATTACTCACCTTGTGTTACCTTGAACTGATGGAGAATACTCTGCTTCTCTTGCACGCCTCCATGGTGAGCGAAGAATCCAAAAAAGGTGAACATTCTTGATAAACTGACATCATAGGGGGACCACCTTCACCAACAGCAAAACTAAATCAAACATCAGTTGACAAACTCTCACACAACTTGTGCAGTGTAATCCCAGTCATGCTCAGCACTTCCAAAAAATATATATTTTTAACCAAACCTACTCTTTCAAAACACTTTGGCCTACGAGTAGCGAGCACTGAGTGTGCCTGAGAGTTCAAACACACCCTGCTGTGCATGAGACTGTTTACTGACGTGTTTTACATCATAATGTTTGAGTGAAAATGCATGTGTTGGGAAGCACTGAGCACACAAAGTTGAATGAACAAAAATTGCAAGAGCATCCATTTCTGTTGAAAATTTTGGGTCCCAGATTCCCCCCAGCGATGGAGTTTAACTATGTATAAATAATATTAGAATCACACAAGTAGAAACAAAAAGAGGATCTGTAAGGACACAGATTCTCTTAGTATCGTACATGTCAGGATGTACTTTGAGGTCCTCGGGCAGCAGAGGTCTTTTGTCTGCTCCAGAGGCTTGACTGAAAACTAAAGGGGGCAGAGTGTTTGCTGTCAGGGCCTCGAGGCTCTGGAACAATCTGTCCGAGGAAATCAGGCCAGCCGAGTTGGAGAGCCTTTCCTGATTTTAAAGTTCATTTAAACTGTCTTTTATTTCCTCGGTTTTTATAAATTAAAGTGTTTTTATCAGTTCTTGTAAAAGTTGTTTTCATGTGTTGTCTGTTTTAATTATCGACATGTAAAGCACTTTGTAACTGTTTTGAGAAGCATTTCATAAATAAAGATTATTATTATTATATAAAGTAGTGCAAGTTAAAATGAAGGATAAAATATAACAAATAAAATATGGGGTAAGTGATATGAATCAGTCATAGCATGAATAGACAAAATGTAACAGGAATGTGCTGTAGTAAAATGTTTATGCATGACAACAGTGTAAATACATGTTTATATAGAAGTGCAAACAGTTTAAACTAGAATTGTTGCCCTGATGGTGCACGCCTTTGCAAACCAAGTTGCAGTTACAGTTTGTATCAGTCTATGTCTGTGAAAACATGAATGCTTTACACACAACTCAAAGATCTAAACAATCCAGATGAGCACCCAAGATTAGAGTCACCAATTCAGTGTCTGACCAAACGTCTCCTCTTCAGTTCCTGAGATATTATGTTTTACAATGGCCAGAAAAGTGTTTATGCAGAACATTCTGATGTCACCATGATGTCTGCCTTTGACCTTTTGGATTTAAAATGTCCTGACCTTATAATTTTATTCTATTAGACATTTATGTGAATTTTTGTCATAATTAGAAAAATACTTCTTGAATTATGGCCAAAAACATGTTTTGTGAGGTCACAGTGACCTTTGACCACCAAAATCAAATTAGTTTATTCATGAGTCCAAGTGAATGTTTGTGTCAAATTGAAGAAATTTCCTCAAGGCCTTCTTGTGTTCCCAAGAATGAGATGGACGCAAGGTCAAAGTGACCTTGACCTATGACCACCAAAATCTAATCAGTTAATCATTGATTCCCCATTAGTCTCGCTCACCAGACCTTTCTCAAGAAAAGAAAGGTCTGGCTGGGCCGACTCTCACTTTAAGATTGGAGGAAAAAATGCCCTGGCTTTTTTTTAATTCTTTCAACCAATCACAATCGTTCTGGGCGGTGCCACAGCAACGGTGCGCTTGCAAAAATATTGCCGGGGGGAAACAGGTTTTGGTGTAACACGCCCACAAAAATATCGCCTACAGAACGCGAACCATGGCAGAAAAATGGCTACATCCCCGCAAGATCAAACACCACAAAAGTTAGTAAAGGACGTGTTGAAAACTGCTACACAACCGGAGGTGGTAGGGCGGGACTTCAGCGGGTGGCTCGTTCCTCCCAATGAGAGGCTGATCTATGCAGCGAACTTCCGCCCACTCAGACTAATTCCCCATGGACGTTTGTGCCAGATTTAAAGAAATTCCCTCAAGAAATTCTATAGATATCTGTTTACGAGAATGGAAATGACAGACGTATGTTACGTACATGCAGACGGACGACCCGAAAACATAATGCCTCTGACCGCAGCTATCGCCAGTGCAGAGGCATTAAAAAGGTAAAGTGACCAGAGTGACCGGCTCAGAGGTTTAACAGTCTTATGGTCTGAGTGATGAAGCCGTCCCTGAGCCTGGTGGTGAAGGACCAGATGCTGTGGTACCGTCTGTCAGATGGCAGCAGGCAGAACAGTTTGTGGTTGATGGGGTGATCTGATTTGAATCTCTGACACCACTGGATAAATAAGACTCTGAGAAACTCTGAGAGTTTGTAAACTGATGTTGTGATATCCTCCTGAGACCCTGTGTCCTTATATGAGGACATCACATTTTGGTTTTACTTGACCTTATACTTTATTCTACTTGACTCCGACCTGTTGTCCTCGTTTGTGGACACTTGTGCTAGTGGTAAAGGTGTTTAGTATAAAACAGTTGTTTTGTCAGTGAACGCTGTGAGTTGTAATGGAGCCGGATTTTGTAACATTGCCTTTGTTAAATGTTGCTGTTGTCCCTGGCTTCATATGAGTAGAGGAAAAGTTTGCTAGCTGCTAGGCTAATTCATACAATGTAAATTGCCATAGGCTTGTGCTAATAACATTAGCATGTTGTATTTGTGGGGAAAATGTGTCCAGATAAAGACAAGTGTTTGTCTGTGAATGCTGCTGTGTACTTGTATTTGAAATTGTTGCTATTAAGCCAAGTTTAATGTGTGTTTTGAATCAACTAAACTTTACAACACTTCTGCCGCCGACTAGTGTTTTGGAGGTGTAACTGTTGTGCAGCTGCATATTTTCAAACGGGAATACAATCCCTGTCTTTGCATTTTATTTTGATCAAAGTCTGTTTTTATAAAACTGCTTGTGACATCTCAAATGTGGCTTTGACTTGCAACTGAAACCATGTAGCCCATTTCGTACATAATACCGAGAAATATATCTTGTATTGCCAGTCAGCCTGTGAATACCGAGATATGGATTTTGGTCCATATTGCCCAGCTGTAGTTACTGTTTACTTCAATTCATGACGAATGTTCTGTTTTTGGATTCTCCATTCACTGTGGAGGCATGCAAGAAAAATCGTCTTCGTCATGATTTCAAGGTAACACGCGGTGAGTTATCGATATATTTATGGTCTTTTTGTGGGTGAAGTATTCCTTAAGCGAGTCCATATATGTATCTTCACTATAATATAAAGCTACTTTAACACTAAGCTTTTCAAGTAATTACTCTTTAAGAGGGAATTAGCTTAAGCCTGACATGAAGACTAATCCCAGCTTTGCAGATAAACTGCTCTGTCACCCTTTGCTTCTTTATATATAAAGAGATAAATGGAAACACTGGGACCAGGCTAGGTGGAAATATAAACACTGGCTTCCTGTGGTGACGCTTATGTACACAAAAGCTGCGTTCAATAATATTTATGGCTCTGGAACAACTCAGCAAACTGAACTCATTAATCCTGTGCGACTACCTGTACCTGCTGTGTCCGACAGAAACGTGCACACCGCCTCATGTGTAAGGCTAATTAGGCTTGAAAACATTAAACACAAATGTTACAGTAATTCATAAGTATTTTATTACACAAAGAAAATTGCTATCACAAAGTTATCACTGAACATTTAAGCAATAAATATGAAGTCCGTACACGACAGTATAATGGCGACTATGTTTTGTTACTGGAAAGTAAAGGAAAAGGACTCGACGATGAAACTGAACAAGAGGGTCACAAACACACACACACACACACATTGAAAGAAAATGACAAACAGATGATTATGAATACGCCCTCCGTGACACAGTTCCATATTAGGCTGGAACAATGTTTCGAGTGTTATAAATGAATTCTGTTCAGCTCTCTGTCCATCTCTGCAGGCATGAATCCAAAGTTTCTGTGCTTTCTTGTCTCGTCGGGAATATGAACGACTAACAGAGAATGAAGCAGCATCTCAATTGTCAGTTCTACTCTGTTCTGCTCCGCTTGTTACAATCTGATCCAATGAAAAGGCAAACATTTGGGCCCCTGAAGCTCCAAACAGGCTGGCAGTGAGCGAAGGTGTCCTTGTGTCCACTTAGGACAAACCAATATACACTCTCTCCTTTCCGCATGTCTCTCCACTTTCACTTGCTTCCTCTTCCTCTACTTTTCACTCCTTGGCTCTGCCCCCTCCTTCGGTCTCTGGCTGTGTTTAGGACGGGCCTCCACCTCCCTGGGCGTCTTGGCTGGTGGAGCCCTCTGCCTCAGGGGCTGGGGAGGCCCCTGGGTCTCCTTCTGGAGAAAACAACAGGCAAAACAACAAACAGTCAAAGATCTGTGAACATAATCAAGCTCAAAATTGAGTTGGCATTCCTGACAGCAGCCGATAAATCTGCTCTCAGGCTTCAGATAGAGAAAAATAATGAGAATCCTGTGGAAGGAACTACAACTTCCTGTAGTAACAGTGTCAAGCCTGATATGAGATTATTTCCAATTTGTGAGGTTTCCCACCAGACCAGCGCTACAGAACTCTGATTTATAGCCGTCAGATTTGATATCATGTCATGGGAAACTTGTCTTTGACTGAAAA